TCCCCCCCCCCCCCCGAGCTTTTAGAATGACCACTACCCTCACTACCCGACATTGCTTAAATAGAACTAGGAAAATAACTTAAGTCTCAAGCCTTACCTGGAGAATTCCCGACGCCTAGATTATGATGCCTTCCCCGAGCACGATCTTGCAAAACGGTTTTTCACAGTGAGTAAAAGTAAAAAATGAGAGGTAAATGAAGGTATTTATATGGAGTGAATACGGAAGGCCAAAGATCGCCATCTTGAGCCGTTCAAGATGCGACATGTGGCACACATCCAAGCCACCCCCTGCAATGGTCATGAAACCAAATTCTCGATGTTATAGCTTGATAATAACATTGAGAAGACAACGTCATCAGATCCTGCGCACCCCTCCATTGAGCATGAGCTCTATGAAGGAGTGCGCGGGGGCCAGTGATATTGCCAAGTTGAACACTTGAGGACTGGTACGTCTCGGGGACTATTGTACCTTGAGGACGTTACATAATCTTATGATTCTATTCCGAAGGTCTAGTCCTCGGGGTTTTATGGTCTTCGGGATGTTTTTCCCGAGGACTCCATTTTTCTCCCCAAAATTCATAAGTTTTCGGGGTATAGTAATCGAGCACTATCCTTCCAACCAAACTCTTTATCCGAGCCCATACGAAGTCTTACCTTCTAAGGACTCTAATATGATTCAAACACGTCAACATAGGACTCCTACGTCCACAAGAACTCTATGTCAACAATAATATCATTGATCATGCAATTATATTACAAATAATATACTTCTCTCAAGCGGGACTCTATTGGATAAGAACGTCCAACTTATTCAATCCTATTAAGAGTAGTGACCTATCGCTATAAATACAGGACACAGGTCCATTATTCATGTACGTTCTACATACACAACTTTTAGCATATATTCATCTTTGAATCCCTTTTCTAACTTAAGTATCGGAGGGGCGACGAACACACACTTCGTTGCCTTTGTTTCAGGTATTTGGAAGGCTTTGTTCGTGTACATTATTAGTCATCATCCTCGGGATCCGCAATGTACGATTTTTGGTAGCATCAAAGTCAATGACGTTCATTTTGTTAAAGAAAAATTAAATCGCTTCCACATTCATGATTTCAAGAGAAAGTTAAAAGATAATATCTCTAAATTTAGGAATCTAAATTTGGGAGTCTCACAGTAACCGCTTTATTAAATAATCGGTTTGGTACCAATTCAATCCGTTAACAAAAACGATTTTGAAAATAAGTTAGCCGTTCTGAAATGATTTGATTTATTTTTGGAATTTTAAAGGCAATTTAAAACAAAAATCAGATCGTTTAAATTATAAAAAAAATGAAGTTTTAAATTTAAAATTAAAATTTGTGCTAGAAATTTAAAATCTTAGCCTCCAAAAAAATATATATAGAATGGGTGTTTGATACTCATTTTAAGGAAAAATGAATTTCAGAATAGTAGATTAATAGAAAAAGTGTGGATGAAAAGTTTTTGATTTACGTGTAATATTATTTTAATGAATAATGTATGTTTAAAAAGAAGTAAAAGAAAAATGCATTTTTAGAAAAATGGAAATCGGACGAGGCCATAACTATTAGAATTTTAATATAAAAATGGGTAATTTAATAAATTATCCATTACTGAATACCTATGATTAATCAATTAGCCTAATTTTATAACTCCATTATTGATACTTTTATTTGACTTTGTTAGTATTTAAATTTATAATTTGATATATATAATTTTCTATAGCCAATAAAAAAGTATGAAAATATTTTATTATCATTGAATTCGTGACAATAAAATGAACATAAAGAAAAAATATATGATCAAATCATGGTTTAAAATCGAACCAAACATCTAAGATTAGGTTGGAAAAAATCTAAAAAAAGTTGAGTTTCCTTAAACCGTTTAAAATGACTTGATTTGAAAATATTTCAAAAATTGATATTCGATCGACATATTTTACCACTCAAATCGCACATTACTTTTCCCATCTAATCATACTTGTTCTTCTTCATCGAAGACTTGCCCACAAAATAAAAGGTTAAGATTTCAAAAATTGTCGGGATCAAAGTGTTACGCTTGGTAAAGGTCAGGGACTCGAGATGTGAACTTTTTGTGGTCGGAGGGTAATCCCGTCCTCCTATACCCAAAAAATAGTAGCCCTCTTGCCTCAAGAAAAATCTGCAGTGCTCATATCACTGCATTCCGCAGGAATAATCACCCCAAAAGTAATATATTAGGAACAAATTCACACAAAGTGTTGATTCCTTCAACTATTTGAAGGCAAAAACAACTCTCAAAAAGCGTTAAACAATCAAAATTCAAGACAAAGGATTTCAAAAAATGGCGTGCAGGAGCGTGTTCAGAACTGTCTTCTTAACAGAGTCATGGCGGCCTTTGCCGTATAAAAGCAAAGTATCCATTTTTACACCATCCCACAAAATATCAACACTCGATTCCTATTATGGCTGCAAATTTACCAAAGTTAGATGTAACTTGCACTTCGCAAGAAGGACTCGGCCTTTGAATTCTTCGCACAATGAATACCCATCTTCATCTGATGATGATAATGAGCAAGGCCCGCCTCAAGAAGCCGTTCTAAAGGCCATTTCAGGTACATCTTTTAATTTTGAGATTTGTGTTTTCTTATACATAATGAGCACGTATATGAATTTGTTTATTGGGTTATTATTAATTGAAAATTGTATTACTTTTCTTACTGCTTCTGCTACTATAACTACTATAATTCTTTATTGATGTGCGTCCATGCTTCTGTATAAAGAATAAAACTTGCACTTATAAAATGAAAAGGTCATTGTTGGGATATGTATTAATTTGTGTGAGAAGATTGAGGTCTAGGTCTTATCTGGTAATATCAACCATGCAAAGATATGATGATAGGGAAATTAGCTTGAGAATTGCAATGCTTTAGGAATTATTTAGATTGTTTGTACTTTGTTTTATTGTTCTTGTAATTAATGCTTGACTTGGAATTTTTCGTCAATAAATTACTTCAACTAAATCTTGTGAGGTTACAGAAGTTTCAAAAAAAGAAGGAAGGGTGGGACAAACAACAAATGTGGTTATTGGAGGTACAGTGACAGATGATTCGACAAATGAGTGGCTTGCTCTGGATCAGAAGGTACGCCTGTCTCGATTTTCTTATTGGCTTATTTTAACACTTAAGTTTTTGGTTTGCATTCTTTTCTATGCTTCTTCATGTTCAAACGCAATATATCTCGTTCCATTTTACAAAACTGTTAGTCTTGAATTGGGGGATCTCCTGGTCCTAGCTTGCATTGATCATTACTGATTGGAGTGTTTGTTTTACTTCGCAGGTAAACTCCTATCCAACTGTTAGAGGTTTTACAGCAATTGGCACTGGAGGTGAAGATTTTGTACAAGCCATGGTGGTTGCTGTTGAATCAGTACTTGAGCACACAATCCCAGAAGTAAGCATCTATTTTTGTTGCTAAACATAATTTTATTTTCAAAGGTATTTTTGGGGTTTGATGCATAGGTACATAAAATTATTGAACTTTTTCCTGTATACTACCCCATCTCTTCTAACTGCATGAAGCACCTGGTTAGGACCTGATGATCGGACAAACAGTATTGAATACTTGGCTGATATTTACATTCATAAAACAAAGTACAGAAAAATTAGAAAGCTGGTAGAAAACTTGTTGCAAATTAAGTCCTGAAGATTTGGTTATAGATTGGCATACGAGTTGTTGTTCAAGGTTCATTCTGATGTATATGTTTTGACATACTTGGACGAAGAGAAATGACATACTCTTTCATAATCAGATCACTCTACTTTAGTCTTTCATTGGTTTTTTTTTTAATATTGGACATCAATTTGCTTCTTAATGTACAAAAACTGGTTAAGATATCGATATTCTTACCTTTTCCGAATATACCAAATTTAGAGGTTCCAAGAAGAAGGCATTTTGACACATACTGGCACCAACATGGAACCCTTATCCAAATAACAAATGTTTGAGTGCATGCTATTCAACGTGTCTTCAATTTACTTTTTCATCATCCAATTTGAGCAAGTTTAAGAGGTAATAGATGTTTCAAAGAGACCAGGGAAGAAATTTGGGTTTCGGGCGTGATACACTTTTATGTAAAGTGTGATGGTTGGTAAAAAGACAATGTTGACTGGGTTTAAGCTGGAATTTTTTCTCCGTTATTCCTATTATCAAATGTATGACCACATAAAAAGTCCACCTTTAGCACATATTGTTGTTTAGTTAATGGACCAACTGTGTTGAGCATCTGAGTTGTGGGTTATTGTAATTTTTTTTACCCTAGTTTTTTTTTTTTCAATTTTTTATTTTATCCTTTTGGGTAATCTTCGAGGAATGGGAAGGAGGGGATGTCCTGAGATATGAAACCTATGTAGTACGGACACTCCAACTAGAGTAGCGTGTCCGTGTCCGACACGTGTCGGATACGTGTCGATACTGACACTCTTTGGACACTCTACAATAATCATTTTCCTTTCTTACTATAGTTATTATATATTTTTAACTCAAAGTTTTTAGTAAATAACAAATAAGTACTCATATTTAAAAATTTTCAACAAAAAAGAATCAATAATAAGTATAAAACTAAATTTAAACTATATAAATGAAGAATTTTAAAGAATTTATCGAATGTGTCGACGACGTGTCGTGTCGGTACTTTTTTGAAAAATTACGGGTCAACGTATCTGACACGTATCGTGTCGGACACACGTGTCCATGTCGTTGCATCATAGTATGAAACTAAAAGATAGTACAAAGTCTTGCCATATTTATTTTGTTTTGATAGCTAGAAGAAGAAAATATATTTTTACCCATTGACTTTTAATAGAATATGGCATTTCTAAAAAATTTAAAGGCACTCCTGGTGTTTAATAAATTTTTGCTGGAATTTTCTTGCTTCGTATCCTCTCTTCCTGTCCCCCTCTCTATTATTCTCTCTACTACGAGTTGCCCAAACACGACTACCAGATTGATGGTGAAAAAGTGAATGTTCATATAGAGAATACCATATGATGATAACTTGTTTTAGAGTAACATAGTGTATTGGCTTCACTTATATTTCTTCCCAAAAATCTATGAAAGATTTTGGCACAATAAGAGGAAAGAAGGTTGTCATGCTAACGTTGCGTAGATTTCATTCTAATATCTATGAAAGGTTTTGGCATGATAAAAGGAAAGGGGGTTGTCATGCATAACCTGGATGGCCTTGGCTAAAGTGGAGGGTCGTTGTTATTATCCAGACTTCCAGAGACTAAGTTTCATTTAAAGTTGTGTGCTTATGGTTATTATAAGAAAATGCACAAAAAGTTGATGCTTATAAAGCAAAACAAGGTAGATGGACAATGTGAAGATGGTTGATTAGAGACTATTCTTATGGGCATGCATAAGTTAGAAATACAGTAATTTGTAACATAAATGATTTTTTTTTTTTCAGGAAATATCATCTTGATTTTATGTGTAATAGTTTAAAATAATGTGTACGACATGTAATGGTATCACGAACCAGTAACTTCAACAATCATTTGATTCTATAAAATGAATAAAGAATTTGTTACCACAATTCTTTTAACTTCAAAGAAACTTGTGAATTTTTAAAACTGTAATTTGTTCACAGTTGGCATATATTATCATGATATAATGTATATGAGATGGAATCTCAACACCCTACGAAATTCAAACATCATTTGTGAGTGTGAGGATAATAGGTAACAAAGGAACTTATTGAGACTTTGGTTCTCAGGTACTTTGAATTTGATATTTCTCTTTGATTTTGCGTTATTCTTTCTCTCATGCTAAAGAATTGTAGAAGACAAATTTTAAATAGATAAATTATTCTTGTCTCTATAGCTTAAAATTTTAGATAAGACGGTTTATCGTGGTAGATGAGCTGGCAAAGGTTCTGAGTCTAAAGCTAGCCAACCACAATTATGAAAATTGTGCACGGCGTCAATCCTTTTGAAGATAAAAAGTGAACCTGGCCTGCACGATAGGGGTATGGGTGTGTTGGTAGATAAATGAGAATTTATCTCCTCTCTAACAACTTGAGTTTCTAGATAAGGTTATCTAATTAGCCTTCTTAAGTAGGTGGCGTTTCTATGTGCTATTTTTTTGTTTATTAGTTGAACATCAGTACGCAGACTGGATGGCATAATTAGTTCTTATACAGGTACTTGATGGTATGTTGGTAAAACATACAAGTGGGGATATTTATGGTACCATGTTGAGCCCTTATGATCATGGTTTAGTAGGTTTTGTCAATGTAAGATTATGAGATGTTGATGTATTTACATTCTTTTTGAAATGAATTATAAACGTTCCCTTATTTTTGAGTAATAATAGTTTTGCTTGAACACACGTCAAAATGTTGGCATGGATCCCCTAACTCATACAAGCTGTAGGGAGTAGAGATGAAACACGGTGTACTTGTTGGTTCTGAAATATCTAGCCCAAAGTGTGGATGATAATTCAATACTAACATTGCCACCATTTTCAAAAGTAAGAGTCGGAATTATATTTGACTTTATGCATTTGTAAGGGTGAGCCTATAGAAGATTCTATTTGGTAAGATAGCTAGGAAATGTCAAGAACCACTCCAACTTCAGACATCTTTCACGTGTATTATACATATCATTTATAATCTAAATCTACCTCGTGTCTTGTTCAGTTTGTGTAATATTCAGAAGTTCCCTTAAGAGTTGGACTGCGAGGCAGTTATACCTGAATTTTTAGTGTGATGTGTTTAAATGAAACTAATCCAGTTTGAGGCTGAACTGAACTGTGCAAACTTTAGATTCTGGGAGCACTTTTGGTATCTCCCAGAATCTAAAATTTGAAATGACTTTTCAAAACGTCGTTCACTTCTATAACTTTATTTCTCATCACCAAGCAAATTGAGATCTTGTGAAGGACATACTATAATTTCAATTTCGTTAGCATACTTTATTTCTGGTATGAGGATCACTTTCTATTTTGTACATAGTTGCTCGTGTGTCATATTTATGTTGTCAATGGTTGTTGAAGTTTCTAATTGTTATTAGCTTTTTCCTTCTACTGTACACTTTCTTTCTTTCTTTATTTTATTTTATTTTTTCTCCCTCATGAGGGCATCTCATAAAACCAAATAAAAAGTGTAACTCAACTCAAGTAACTTATTCGATCGCCCAAACTTGTTAAATATAGGCCACTCAAATTTATTGTGTTCTGCTGCAGGGCCAAGTGAAACACAGAGTATCGTCAGGTGGCAAATACGTATCCGTGAACATTGGACCTGTTCAAGTAGTTTCTAGTGAGCAGGTTCTCTCTCTCTCTCTCTCTCTCTCTGCACATATATATATATAGCTGTGCACGTGTGCGCACGACAAAAAAATTGTGAAATCGACATGTGTAATGCAATGCAGCGGATTCAATATTCCATGATCCAACTCGGAAAAAGAGTGAATGGATTTTATCTGTCAACATGTGTAGGTTGCATATGAATAATCTAATTGAATTGTGCTTTCCAGGTCCAAGCAGTATACAACGCTATGAGAAGAGATGACAGGATGAAATACTTTTTGTAGAACTATTGAATTTTCCACCGAAGGCTAATCAACTCGAGCATCATGTTAGCACTTTACTTTTATCTTGTTTATTTCACATTTTTTATATTGAAATTTGTATTTAATTTTCTTTACTTTAGTGCAATACCGGTGTAGGCTTAGTAGGTTGGATTGAGCCTGAAGAACCTTGTGCATTAACCAACTTAAGGTATCTTACTAAGTAAATTTCTCAGTTGCTAATTCACCAATCCCTATGAATGTATCTTAGAATTAGGGTTATAGATGATATGACTGGGCCCACAACTTGGTGATTTTGCAGTTAATAAGTTTATAACATTGACATTTAACCTTAGGCTAACGACATTCTAAAACCTTGGATGGTAATATTTGATTGTGAAGCATGTAGATGCCTAGTAAATAGTATTGGACGGTCGAGCCCAACACATCAAACTTGTCATATTAAAACAAAGGGTAATTAGCACAAAACGTCCCTACCTTTCATAATTTTTGTGGAAAACGTTCCCACCTCTCGTTTTTTTAGTGCATTTCATCCCTACGTTTACATTTTTTTGTGCAAAACATCATTTTTATCATTTTCCTCAATAAAAAAGCTATAAAGTGACTAATATACTCTTGTATTTAAATTAAAAAAAAATAAAGAACTAAATGCAATCGTAGTTGCAAATAAAAAAATAAATAAATTCTCTACCTCCACCTCCTCTTTTGAACTTTTTTAAAAATTGGAACTATGATTGCAATTAGTTATTTATTTATTTTTTATTTAAATAGAAGGGTATATTAGTCATTTTATAACTTTTTATTGAGAAAAATGATGTTTTGTACAAGAAAAGGTAAAGATGGGGATGAAATGCACCAAAAAACGAAAGGTAGGGACGTTGTTCACAAAAATTATGAAAGGTAAAGACGTTTTATGCTAATTACCCTTAAAACAAACATGCTTCTTGCAGTGTAACTATGTTGGATCATGATGCTAGAATACTGGTTTGATGTACTTTTTACATTTTTGAGTCGATAAACATCTCTTGATTTACCCATTACCGAAATTTTTCTGTTAATTAAGAAGGGAGACGTGAGATTTCTTCCTCGTTAACACAAGGAGTCAATTAATAAAATGTAGTTTGCAAAAGGGTGCGACAACTTTTTTTTTTTTTTTTTTTGTTTGTGTCTGTGCGTGTACAAATTATTTTAATCTCCATCGAAAAACTGAAATTTTAATTAATAAAATGCGAAATTAAAGTTAAATTACAAAATAGCATGTTGGCATTATGATTCCGTATTATATTCTAATGACCAAATGGTTTCTTGCACATTAGTTTCAAAGTGGAAAGATGCTTCTTTTTCATGATAAAATACGATTAACTTGTGGTCCAATCATTAATTTCTTTAACTAACACTTAATATATTAATTGGTTAATTATATAATTAAGCATCGTTAGTAAATAACCTCACAAATTTTAGTCTTTTTCTCAGCCCATAAAGATTCCCTTCTGTCGTCGCAAAAATTAGGTTAAAGGGTGGGGGCAGCCCAACCGTGCTTGCCAACGTCCTCAATTGAGTCAAGGGTCACTATCTATTCAAAGTTCAAGGCACAAAAATTCTACCCATGAATTTCAAATCAATATCATAAACAAAATTATTAAAATAATTAATAAAAAATTTGCAATTTTTCCACAGTTCTTTTTCAGGAATTGTTTAAACAATAAGCAACTTGATTGAAAATCTAGGTCAATTATTGTAGGAGGTTGTTAACGGGCAACACTTTAGTGCTAAAATAATTCATTTTTCCTTAGCCGTAGTCCGAAATCGATTTTCTACAAAAGAAAAGTAAAAAATTGATTTTTTGTGGGCCCAAGCTTGAATAATTTATAGAATAATACTATTTTTAGTCGACCACTATCACAGTCGTCTTACGTGGGATACATGTGACGGTTAGTGATTTGATACATTAATGTGTTAATTTTTAATTATCTTATACATCAAATTACTAATCGCCACATGTATGCCATGTACGACGACTGCAAATAACATTATTATAATTTTTATACTATTCTACAAGTAGATATTGTTTGTGTGGAATTGAATTTAGGGTCTATTTGATTGCAAATATGGAAGAGACAAACTAATTTTATGTAAGTTGAAAAAGAAAAAAAATCACCAAAATCATAAGAATTCGATTTCCATAGAATTAGCCAAAAACATGTTTTAAGAGTGTATTTAATTGGTATGAAAAATATCACCTAAAAAAGAAAATATTTTCCTTACTTTGAGGAAAACAAAAACTACTTCCCTCCAAAGAAAATATTTTTCTTAAAAAAAAGGAAAATTAGGCATATTTTCAAAAGTTGAAAAATATTTTCTATGGAAAAAAATAACAATCAAACACCCAAAGTAAGAATTTGTATGGAAAATTGATATTTTTCATGAGAAATAAGTGTAATCAAACACATTCTAAGTGTTGGTACCTTGGAATTCGAATTTCAATTCCACTTTCGTATCAAACAGTCAAAGTGGAAAACAAATTTCTCGAATATAACATTTTCGCTATCAAATGGACCCTTACTACTATTTTCAAATGTGTAAAAGGAAATGGAGCCCCCATTCTTAAGAGTGACAAAGGAAATACCATTAAACGGGTTATTGAGAATTTGATTAGGAGGGTGTTTGACATCCATTTTTATGAAAAAATGAATTTTAAAATAGTAAATTGATAGAGAATGTGTAGATGAAAAATGAGATTTTTTTTTTATTTACGTATAATATTATTTTAATGAAGAATGTATGATTAAAAGGAAGAGAAAGAAAAATGAATTTTGATAAATACGAGAATCAAATAGGATTTTATTAAAAGGTGTGACATTTTGTCTGAATATTTTAATAGAATTCTCCACTTTTAAAGTTAAATTTTAGTACTAATTTGATTAAAAACTAAGGTAGAGGTGTTAAATATGACAAGTCAACTTGAACCCTTTAGACATTCCGTAACGTTTAGATTGCTAAGATACAAGGTCGATCCGAACCGGATTGGCAACATCCTCTCCCGTCCCACGAAAGAAATTAGCGTGGGTTTAGTATAGCTCCGGGCAATGTCAGTCTGAATACAATCAAATTATTAACGACCATGTCGTTTTCGATCTAATAGATTTATACACAAAGTTAGACCCAAAATCATAGTTAAATTATTACTCCTAAATCAATGTTTGATGATTCTATGTTGTGGGTCTTTGACGTCATACATGTCGGCCTTTATAGTATATATAAATGCGAGTGTTCAGCCAGCAAAAAAAATGCTTATACAACTTACTTGATCGCTTCTTTTTGTTCTTGATAGGAAGTGGATTAGTTGGTCTTCCACTTCCAGTTTCAGACACCGTGCAAAGGCATCATGGAACAAATCAATGAAGAACAGGCAAGTTCTATGCCAAACTCGCCAAACCATAACAGCAGACCAACCAGTATGGTGATCAAGGCAAGTTCAATCACTAATAGTATCATTTTTCTTTTTCTTTTTGCTAAAGGCCGATTCTCGAACTCAAAAGCCCCAGCAAAAGCTCAACGAGAGAAGGAGTCTTTCTATCTCGAGCTGCCTTTAGGCGTTCGGGATCATATCGGGGCATATTCCCGTAAAAGAAGCTCAACCTGAGAACGACTCTTTCTCTACTCGGTTGCCTTTAGGCTCCGGCGTCAAATCCTTGATAAGAGGGGCATGTTGTAACTTAAGTTTTAAATTTTCAAAACTTAAAACTGATTTTAATTTTCAGATTTTCATTTATTTTGATTTTCAGATTTAATAGAAAATTAAAAGTCATAATTATATATTTTAACTCACACTTTAATTGAATTTATTCTCATTAGTGTGGGTGTTTAACATGTACAATATAAAAGGGAGGAGGTTATATAATTTGGACACAACTCGAGATATTTGAATTCAAAAATACTACATCTATATTTTATATTATATTTCTATAATGGGGAATTCGATGAGTCTTGTTCTTTATCTCCCTATGGTCGTGCTTATATAGGGAGAACCGGCTATAAGCCACATGAATTTTATCTTGGAGTCGTATAGTATCGAAAGTATTCGTACGAAGAGGAAACAACACGACTTTAAGATAGCATCATTGACGTGACTTCCTAAGACTTGCTTTTTCTAACCCTCCTATTATATTTGTATTATTGTTAAATTATATTACTTATATGTTTATGTTTAAAATAGTTATGTTAACTAATATTTTATCTACATACAAATCACCAATTTTTTTTCAAAAGACATATTTTCAAAAAGAAGCAACCTTCCCTTCCTAAGCTCATCTAAGAATGAGTCTTTTCATATAGGGGGGTCTACAGGGAGGGAATAGCTCCTCGAATATTCAGTCGAAATGTGTATAAACTATGATCGCATCCGATTTATAAAGGTGGCAAACCAGGGGGGAGGCCGCCGCCACTCAAGTTTAATCGGCGAAGTTTGGATACTTGAGTCATTTAAAAAAAATAAAAAGAATGTCTCTCTTCCCCCTAGACACTTTCATTTATTTGATTACATGCTTTTAATTGTGTTTATTTAGTAACTAGAATGAGAGTTATGTTTCTGATTGGATTATTTTCTTAAATAACAGAAAGCACATACTGTGATTCCTGCTCACTTGGTAGCAGAAGCCATATCAACACTTAATGGTCTTGATCTGAGATGGTCAGGCCCCATTACACCTAGCGAAAGGCAATATGTGCAGCAGTATGTTTTTGCAAAGTATCCAGAATACTGCAATGGCCTTGTTGAAGAAGGAGACAAGACCGATTTATATAGTCTCTCTGTCAATGATGAATCATCAGAATCCATGGCTGATGACAGACGAAAATCCCCGATGAATTCTGTTAGGGAGTCATCTTCTCCTTCAGATATGGGCAAAATTCAATTGGAGCCCTCCAAATTACTTGATATCCTGGCTAAGAAGGGGTCTTCCCAGGGGAATTTTATTTCCATCCCAGAAATACAGGTGCGAAATCGAGCCTTGCAGAATTGTGGATTGACAGAAGAGGATTATTTGGTGCTTTTTACCCATACTAGTAAGGAAGCCATGATGATGATTGGGGAATCCTATCCCTTTTTCAGAGGAAACTATTACTTGACAATTCTTGAAGAAGAGCGTGATTGTGTAAGGGAATTGGTACGGAATAAGGATTCAAAGGTTATTGCAGCACCAGAAACATGGTTGGATTTAAGGATCAAAGGATCACAGCTTAGCCAGTACTTCAGAAGAAAATGCAAATATAGTCCAAAAGGGCTTTTTGCTTACCCTGCTTGCGTGAATGAATCTCGTTCCTCCATGCATTGGATATCAGAGGCACATAGAAATTCTTGGCACGTTCTTCTTGATGCAACGGGTTTGGATGTTGGGAAAAACCGTCTCACACTTGCACTTCATCGGCCTGATTTTGTCTTGTGCACCGTTGATAATATGCATTCTCAACCCGAGAAGATCACTTGCCTCTTAGTAAGGAAGAACTCATTCGATACTGCACCACCATCCGCGTAATTATTTAATGTGCACTGTTCTATATCAAAGTGTTGAATGAGAAAGATTTTCTTCTTCTCAGTTCATGTAATTTTTCTGGAAATTAGAGACACAGCAATCTGATGCTAAGCCTAGTTGCCATCTGTTACAGTTATGCTCTAAGTACCATTAAAAATAAATAGATAAAAGCTAAATTTTTTATCCATTATACTCTTCGATCCAATTCTGCTCTAGTTATAGCTGTAACATCAAGCATACAGCAAATGTTATATTAGCAAAATATGCAGAAGAGGATAAACATTTGAAAAATTACTTTTCATTTTCTCTTGTTGACCGCTATAAAACTAGGGTTAATTATTTGAATGGTCACTGAACTTTGTAAAGTATTACTACTTAATAACTGAACTTATAAATACATCTCAGTGGTCACCGAACTTTGTAAAGTATTACTACTTCATAACTAAACTTAAAAATGTATCTCAATGATCACTGAACTATGCACTGTGTTATCTATTCATCACTCAAATTAAATTCAACAATCGGTGTCGACTTGAATGATGGAGTGTTATACGATGCAACACAGTGCATAATTTAGTAATGGATGTACCTAACGGATTTCCCACTTGAGTGATGAATAAGTAACATAGTACATGATTCAGTAATCATTGAGATATATTTTTAAATTCAATTATGAAATAATAACACTAGACAAAGTTCAATAACCATTCAAATAATTAACATGTGAAACTAAGATGGTAAGTTACGTCCAGAAGCCCCTTTGATGTGAAATATAATCAGGAACAGTTGAGAAATCACATTCCAAGGTAAATGACAACAATACGACAATGAATTGTAAGAAATGAGCTGGAATGTGAAAGTAACACTAGTTACCAATAAATTAACAACACTCAAATTTGTTTGAGAATGCGACTGTTTATTGTTGAAGAGTCCCCCAAATAATCCCTTTCCCGCTAAGCAAGGATTTGTGCGAAGTAGTAAACTGCTCACCTACAGGAGGAAAAGGAAAAAAAGAAAACCCACACACACTCAAATTAATCGAAAATAGCCCATGTCGTGTGGGTGAAAGTTTAGTACAAAATTATTGCAAGATTCATTTTTAAATATAACAACTCATCGGGATTCGTCAAAGAAAAGGCAATATCGAATACTCTATTCTATATTAAAAGAATAATGCCGGATATACAGGTCTCCTCACATGCTGGGTGAGGAGAGTGGATGATTATTTTAAAGAAAAAAATTATCCCACCCCGTATAATGTGTGTGGCCTGTACAGATAGCAAGATTGTTATTAAGTTCCCGTTTGGTGCTCATTTTTTTCAAAATGTACTTTTTTCTGTCTTCTTTTCAACCACACATTTTTTATTAAAATACTATTACATATAAATAAAAAAAAATTCTTATTTTTCAATCACACACTTCCCATCAAATTACCATTCTAAAATGCATTTTTACGTAAAAATTGCCCTCAAATACCCCCTAAATTTTTTTGTCTCCATTTTTTTTCAAAGTTATTTTTAACTACATCCTTCATTAGACTCTAATTTTTATACTTTTTATTCAAACATTTTTATTAATTTTTATTAAAATATACTAAAAACTTTACTTTAATGTAAACGAAACGCCGACTTACTAATGAATTTCGAGTAATCTGTAATCACGGGAAAGTGGGGACTGTCGGAAAGGAAGTAATAATCCCCACATGATAACATGAGCACTGGGGGCGCATTCTAGCAAAATGTACTGTTCATGGTAGTAGTTGGTGGAATCTCGAAATGCCATAGCCTCCCCACAGCCTTCACCAGATTCTTCTTACACAAGAAGGTTTTTGCGTAAACCTTCTCCACCTTGCGCTCCACGTCATGCAAGTACACGTGGGTAACGCCGGGACTTTTCCTATTCCTTGCCATCACGGCGGCGGAGTAGATAGCTGCCATCCTCCCCGGCGCTTCTGGGAAATACCCACGCGGCGCGTCAATCATTATAATGTCCCACTCCTTATCGTACACCTCGTCCTGTAGCACATTCAGTGCTAATTTGCATCTGCTATTACCGCGGATGAAAGATTTTGTCGGCGAACAGTCCCGTTCATTGCGGTAGTGCGAGAGGAGGTCGTTGGCGTGGGAGAGCTTGGTGCGGTAGTTGACAGTGTTGGCGTGGAGGCCAGGGGCGTTTTTTAGTACGGTCTGGACCCACTTAGGATCCTCCTCGAGGAATAAGGTGGTTCCGCGAGGGTTGAAAGAAGCCCACATGAGGGAATCGTGACCCAGTCCGAACACGAGGAAATTGCAGGGAGAAAGAGATCTGAGAACGTCGTAAGAGAGTCTGATCTCATCAATTGTTTGCTGTGGGATCACTTTCGAAGTCGCGTAATGGAGAATGGCCTCAAGCTGGAGCTCCGTCCCGTTCGCGGCGTTGGCCGGCCGCCGTGGACCACCATTACAAAATACTATAGAAGAAGCATTTCCTCTTAAAAATGAAGCAATAAGCAACGCGCTGCTGATCAATACCACCATAGCCATGGCCAGAAACCATGGATTTTCAGGCTTAAACTTGTGCTTATGGCTTTTCAGCATGATCTCAGTTTTTTGGCTACAAATTCCTTCTTTTTACTTTAACAAATTAATGAGAATCTGAGAAATGAAAGGAAAGATGAAGGCAATGGAGATTTTTGCAGTGAGGAATGGATTATATAGCAGTGTTTGAGTTCAATTAGAAGAATCGTGAGACTATGAAACTTGGAGGAGACCAAAACTCCCAGGACTCGATAAACAGAGAAAGTAGTGGCAATCACGATTCATATTCGAAGATTGATAGGCAATGTATAGCTTTAATTAAACATATTTTCCACCAGAAATGATGGGGAGGGTCCTTTAGAGATAAGCCTAAAATCAAATGGAATATTGCAAACAACACAGTACCTATTATTCATTAGAAAGATAAAGGGAATAAAAGTAAATAGACTTATATATTTTATTAAAAATTAAATACTCATATTTATAGAGAAGAATTAGAATTACAAAAGATACAACAGTTATATTGACTAGAACTATAAGTGTATAAAAGTCATTCATAACTATTACTATATTTACAAAACTTCATCTTGAACGACAATTTTCACAATAGTTATCTCATTGAAATATTGTTTGGCAAAAAATTTGATGGACAAAAATTCCAACATATGAAAAAGAGTACAAATAATTTGGAGTTGTAAAATGCTGCCTAGTTAAAATTTTGTCAAGAAAATCCAACAGAACAAAACTTGATTGAAGAAAAAGAGTACAACCACTGATTTCAATTTTTGTATCAAACGATCCTTGCCTTGTATGTCAATGTCTTCAACGTTGATGTCTTTTATATCAATGTTTTCAAGAAAATTCAGTGAAACAAAACTTGATGACTGTAGTAACATGATGACTTGAAAAATAGCTCTTGTTGTTTCTTTTCAATAGTCTTGTACATATAAGAGTTATTATTAGGGTAAATATCTTGTATGTTATGGACATTCATTATATAAAAAATATGCCTCGTTAGAAACTTATTAGGAAAAATCCTGTGGAAAAAATTTTAATGAAGAAAAAATGGTACAATAATATTTTAAATACGCTACAAAAGTTATCTAGTTAAAAACTTTGCTATAAAAATGCAATGGAACAAAACCTTGGTCAAGAAAAAAGAGTACAACGCATATGTGCTCGTCCTCATGATAATATCAATTGAATTATTCTTCAAGTATATTAAATCTTTCAAGGTAACATAAAAAACCATGCTATATAAGTTGGCTATAATTAACTTTATTATATGCATATCAAATTTCATGCATTGTTAAACTAATAAAATGTAGACTTGTGACTACATCCACCCCATGATAATTTATCTATTTATACAAGTCTTCACTAAATTTATTAATAAAGAGTAGTATATTTCATATTATGATTTTACTTTTTTCCATTTTTCATTTCGCATAAGTATACACCTTTAAGTGTTCAGACTTCATGTATTGTGTCCATTTATTTGGTCAATCATTTTTTTATCAATATATTTCGATGCATTTATTTCGATTTCTTACTATATAATGTTGTATATCATGTACAAAAGTGTTGTCGATAATTTTTTATTTTGGATTCTGTTTATTTCTTTATAATGACATAACTTACTGAGATATCTTTGTTTTCAACATATCTGGTACCTGAACTTTTTTTAGGGTTTTAAAATTTGTTATGTTTAAACACTCATCCAGAGTATATACCTCCTCAATGGGACCATTTTTGCTAATTGCTCCATTATCATTTGAAGATTTTTGTATTAAAAACGAATTTCATCACACTTCGGATGTGTCATAAATATATCATATATAATACTAATAAATTATTCTCCTAAGATATCAATTCGTATTGGAGCCTTTAAAACTAGTGTTGTGATATTGTTGATCGTTTTGGTCAGTAAATGCATCTAAATAAACTATTTTTCGAACTTCTTATTCAAATTATCTTTTGGGAGGATAATGATGCATTTGTACATTATTTTGGCTTCTTAATTCTTTACTTTAATGCTGAGAGATTTTTTCCAATCAAATTGACAATCAGCAAATTGCGTTATTAAATATAACCAATTTAAGATGAGGGTTAAAACTACGCATTTCTTCTCAATATTTTTAATTTTTTATTTTAGTGCATTGTGGTGGACTAATTGAATTATTAAATAATCTGATAAAATTTTTTGTCTATAATAGGAAGAATTGTGATATGGACATAACGCGTAATAATATTCTCTAAGCAGAAATGTAAAGAACTTTGTTGACCACCGAACTCCTATCTCATGAGATTTGTTCGAGGGGCCCATTTCAATCATATGTGAGTTCAAATTTTCCGCAGCTCGGATTAGACCCGTCGTAACCTCTGAAAATATCATAATTACCACATCAACATCTCAAATCAATACACTTGTCAGGAGCGACGTCACCACCGCCCAAAACCACAAATCCAAAGCCCGGAATCTCAAGCCCCTTACAGGTCATCATTGCCTGGAGAAAACATTGACACCTGTCCACTGGCCTCGTCGACCAATCACCAGAGAATTCGACGACTTGAGTTCCGAGCTCGGTATTGTAGCTTATTTGACTGATTTGATGTAATTTCAGCTAAAGCCATGTATAAATAATGGAGTAGAAGTTTTGTAAAGAAAGGAAGAAAGAAAGAAAGGAGACACACACAAAATCATAATCCGATCACGTCTTCTATGTATATTTCATGATTCGATTTAGCAATAAATCAACCTTTTTCCTAAAGTTGGCTCAAAATTAGCTTTGCAAATTTTTACGTCAACAGTTTGGCACTAGAGGAAGGGCCCCAATTGTGAAAAATAACCCCACTCTCCCCACAAAACCCGAGAACCATGAATCATAGCTCCAGTTCTAGAAATCCATCTCACACCCACCCTCATGAAACCAATACTCTACTAAGTTCTCCACGACGACAAGACCCACAGATGATTGCTATGAGGGAAGCCCTAGAAAAACTAACAAATGCAGTGGGATGATTGGAACGGAGCCAAGCCCACTTGTCCCCACCACATACTGAGGTAGAATCCCCTGCAATGACAAGGGCAAGACGTCATCCACCAGGAGGACTCTCCACTTTTCAAGAGGAGAATCCTCAAGAAGCCAAACTGACGAAGTCAGAAGTAAGGATCCTCCGACAAGGAGGACCGGCAGCGTATTCGACAGGTTGGGGACCACACTCGCTAACCCCTAAGCGAGGACAGGTTGGTTTCGACCTTAAACTTCCTTTGGAACAGACAGAACCCGAGCTGAGAGCGCTGAAAAGGCACATTGCTGTGCTGGAGGCTAAAAATAAAGGTGGCACTAAAGACTATCTCACTAAGAGACATTCCCCATTTACTGAGGATGTCCTCATGGAACCATTGCCTAAAAAATTGAAGGTTCACCACACTCGCTAACCCCTAAGCGAGGACAGGTTGGTTTCGACCTTAAACTTCCTTTGGAACAGACAGAACCCGAGCTGAGAGCGCTGAAAAGGCACATTGCTGTGCTGGAGGCTAAAAATAAAGGTGGCACTAAAGACTATCTCACTAAGAGACATTCCCCATTTACTGAGGATGTCCTCATGGAACCATTGCCTAAAAAATTGAAGGTTCCCCAGATGGCCGCGTACGAGGGAGATGGAGATCCCCTGAGCCACCTTGACAAGTACACCTCGTGGATGGAGCTGCAGGGGGCAAGCGACGCCATCATGTGCCGGGCATTTCCCCTAACTCTGGGAGACAAAGCTCAGAGGTGGTTCAGGAGACTGCACCAGAGGTCAGTAAAAATTGGAACGACCTGGCCACAGCATTTTTAGCCCAGTTCATGGGTTCCAAAGCCAGAACCACTCCCAAGGAGCGGTTAGTAAGTATCAAACAAGGAAAGAGTGAACCACTACCCGAGCAGGTTCAACAAACAATCCATGGAAGTAGAAAAAATATTCGATGATGCCGAACTCATGGCAGTACTGGCTGGGCTAAGGCCCAGAACGAGATTCTGGTAGTCGATACACGAGGACGGCCCAAGAACCTATCACGAGTTCTTGAACCAAGCTGAAAAATACATAAGTGCTGAAGAAGCAACCTCTGATCAAGAGGAAGCCAGGTGCGATCTCGACCTTAGCAATACGACAAAAGAGAAAAAGCTGAATAACAATCCTCAGCACGAAAGAAAGAAGGACAGGAGAGAAAGAGAACGTCACAAGGCACAGCCGTATAAATTTCGAGAATACCACCCACTCAAACCTCCTTGGAAAAAGTATTCATGCAAACTAGTGAAAAAGATGCATTCCGCAGGCCGGTTATCCAGAAGAACGGGCAAGCACGACACCACTAAGGATGATACTGTCGATATAACACGATGATGGTTTATGACATTGATAACTGTTGGGAATTGAAAGAGGAAATTGAGTACTTAATTCGAAGAGGTTGGCTACAGGAGTTTGTTGCCGAACTAAAAGCGGATCGACCTCCTTCGTAGCAACCATTGCTACAGGGACCTCCTACGCGAGCTCAACAGACAGTTCACAATCGTAATCCACCCCCACGTGCCGAAATCAAAATGATGGTCAAAAGATACCAGTATATTGAGGGATCTAGAAGGGCGAGACGAAGACAAGCTCAAAAATTTCGGATCGTGCCCAACTATGAAGATCAAACCCTCAGATCGGCACAGACCATGAATAGTTTTGGTTCACGGAAGAAAATTCTCAAGGAATCCCCCTGGTGGTTACCATGCCAGTTGCTGGCGTGAACGTTCACATGACATTAGTGGATAATGGGAGCTCGGTCAACATACTATATTCACGGACTTTGAGGCAAATAGAAATATCAGAACGCTACCTTCAACTATACTCAAGAAAACTGCAGGGGTTCTCTGGGCGAAGCCCCTCGTCAAAGAAGGATTCTGGCGAATTTAGTGGTAGTCGATCTACCATCTAACTACAATGCAATATTAGGACGACCCATATTGTACGAGCTAAAAGCCCCCACATCAATCTATCATTACTGTATGAAGTTCCCTACCCCTCACGGGATCGAGATAGTTCGAGGAGACCAAGCTGGGGCTAGAGCTTGCAATATCTACCTACCCAAACCTCAGGTTAACATGCTAAGGGGCAGGGCAAATACGCGAGTCGGGAAAGCCAGACTGAAGAGACCAATCGTGGCGGATCTCTCTGAGATCGGTATAATTGAGAAATATTTCAAGTGACCTACGGATGACCAGTTACTCTTTGATGAAAAAGAGGTAGATCCACATCCCTACCTCGGAGTCCTGGTAATCTCATTACCTATCGCCGAAGTAACCATCCCAAAAGTCTTGGTGGATACGAGAAGTGCTCTCAACATTATCTTCGGCAACAGCCTCAAGTGGATGGGCATACCTGCCAACTTCTTACGACAATACTCAAAATGGTCCTTAGACTAAGAGGAGCCCTGACCTCACCAAAGGATCGATCAAACTCAAAGTTGAGTCCGGATCGGCACACCGTCAAGTAAAGATAAACTCCGAGTTTGTGGCGTTCGATACTCCTCGCCTTATGACGTCGTCATGGGGCAACCATTGATATTCAATTTGAAAGCAGCGGTGTCATTATACCACTATTCAATTAAGTTCCCCACTTTCCATGGTATGGACGAAGTCAAAGGAAACAGGGCTCTCATCGATACATGTCAATTGAAAGCCTACGACCGCAGTCAATGCATCCTCTCTAGAGTGCATATGGCTCATGTATGGGATTCCAAACTCAGTTCACTAGACCAGAGGATCAAAATCGAAGGAGGAAAACCCGTCGAAGAGTTGGAAGGAGTCCAAGTTTGTACAGACGATCCGTCAAAAGAACTCCAAGTCAGGCGCGAGCTGCAACCCTCCACCCAAAGTAAAATTGTGGCTTTTCTTAGACAGAACCTTGATGTCTTTGCCTGGTTCCATGGGGACATGAGAGGAATAGACCGCAAAATTATAATGAGTCTTTTCATATAGGGGGTCTACAGGGAGGGAATAGCTCCTCGAATATTCAGTCGAAATGTGTATAAACTATGATCGCATCCGATTTATAAAGGTGGCAAACCAGGGGGGAGGCCGCCGCCACTCAAGTTTAATCGGCGAAGTTTGGATACTTGAGTCATTTAAAAAAAATAAAAAGAATGTCTCTCTTCCCCCTAGACACTTTCATTTATTTGATTACATGCTTTTAATTGTGTTTATTTAGTAACTAGAATGAGAGTTATGTTTCTGATTGGATTATTTTCTTAAATAACAGAAAGCACATACTGTGATTCCTGCTCACTTGGTAGCAGAAGCCATATCAACACTTAATGGTCTTGATCTGAGATGGTCAGGCCCCATTACACCTAGCGAAAGGCAATATGTGCAGCAGTATGTTTTTGCAAAGTATCCAGAATACTGCAATGGCCTTGTTGAAGAAGGAGACAAGACCGATTTATATAGTCTCTCTGTCAATGATGAATCATCAGAATCCATGGCTGATGACAGACGAAAATCCCCGATGAATTCTGTTAGGGAGTCATCTTCTCCTTCAGATATGGGCAAAATTCAATTGGAGCCCTCCAAATTACTTGATATCCTGGCTAAGAAGGGGTCTTCCCAGGGGAATTTTATTTCCATCCCAGAAATACAGGTGCGAAATCGAGCCTTGCAGAATTGTGGATTGACAGAAGAGGATTATTTGGTGCTTTTTACCCATACTAGCAAGGAAGCCATGATGATGATTGGGGAATCCTATCCCTTTTTCAGAGGAAACTATTACTTGACAATTCTTGGAGAAGAGCGTGATTGTGTAAGGGAATTGGTACGGAATAAGGATTCAAAGGTTATTGCAGCACCAGAAACATGGTTGGATTTAAGGATCAAAGGATCACAGCTTAGCCAGTACTTCAGAAGAAAATGCAAATATAGTCCAAAGGGGCTTTTTGCTTACCCTGCTTGCGTGAATGAAGCTCGTTCCTCCATGCATTGGATATCAGAGGCACATAGAAATTCTTGGCACGTTCTTCTTGATGCAACGGGTTTGGATGTTGGGAAAAACCGTCTCACACTTGCACTTCATCGGCCTGATTTTGTCTTGTGCACCGTTGATAATATGCATTCTCAACCCGAGAAGATCACTTGCCTCTTAGTAAGGAAGAACTCATTCGATACTGCACCACCATCCGCGTAATTATTTAATGTGCACTGTTCTATATCAAAGTGTTGAATGAGAAAGATTTTCTTCTTCTCAGTTCATGTAATTTTTCTGGAAATTAGAGACACAGCAATCTGATGCTAAGCCTAGTTGCCATCTGTTATAGTTATGCTCTAAGTACAATTAAAAATAAATAGATAAAAGCTAAATTTTTTATCCATTATACTCTTCGATCCAAATCTGCTCTAGTTATAGCTGTAACATCAAGCATACAGCAAATGTTATATTAGCAAAATATGCAGAAGAGGATAAACATTCGAAAAATTACTTTTCATTTTCTCTTGTTGATCGCTATAAAACTAGGGTTAATTATTTGAATGGTCACTGAACTTTGTAAAGTATTACTACTTAATAACTGAACTTATAAATGCATCTCAGTGGTCACCGAACTTTGTAAAGTATTACCACTTCATAACTAAACTTAAAAATGTATCTCAGTGATCACTGAACTATGCACCGTGTTATCTATTCACCACTCAAATTAAATTCAACAATCAGCATCGACTTGAATGATGGAGTGTTATACGATGCAACACAGTGCATAATTTAGTAATGGATGTACCTAACAGATTTCCCACTTGAGTGATGAATAAGTAACATAGTGTATGATTCAGTAACCATTGCGATGTATTTTTAAATTCAATTATGAAATAATAACACTGGATAAAGTTCAATAACCATTCAAATAATTAACCTGTGAAACTAAGATGGTAAGTTACGTTCAGAAGCCCCTTTGATGTGAAATATAATCAGGAACAGTTGAGAAATCACATTCCAAGGTAAATGACAACAATACGACAATGAATTGTAAGAAATGAGCTGGAATGTGAAAGTAACACTAGTTACCAATAAATTAACAACACTCAAATTTGTTTGAGAATGCGACTGTTTATTGTTGAAGAGTCCCCCAAATAATCCCTTTCCCGCTAAGCAAGGATTTGTGCGAAGTAGTAAACTGCTCACCTACAGGAAAAAAAGAAAAAAGAAAACGCACACACACTCAAATTAATCGAAAATAGCCCATGTCGTGTGGGTGAAAGTTTAGTACAAAATTATTGCAAGATTCAATTTTAAATATAACAACTCATCGGGATTCGTCAAAGAAAAGGCAATATCGAATACTCTATTCTATATTAAAAGAATAATGCCGGATATACAGGTCCCCTCACATGCTGGGTGAGGAGAGTGGATGATTATTTTAAAGAAAAAAATTATCCCACCCCGTATAATGTGTGTGGCCTGTACAGATAGCAAGATTGATATTAAGTTCCCGTTTGGTGCTCATTTTTTTCAAAATGTACTTTTTTCTGTCTTCTTTTCAACCACACATTTTTTATTAAAATACTATTACATATAAATAAAAAAAAATTCTTATTTTTCAATCACACACTTCCCATCAAATTACCATTCTAAAATGCATTTTTACGTAAAAATTGCCCTCAAATACCCCCTAAATTTTTTTGTCTCCATTTTTTTTCAAAGTTATTTTTAACTACATCCTTCATTAGACTCTAATTTTTATACTTTTTATTCAAACATTTTTATTAATTTTTATTAAAATATACTAAAAACTTTACTTTAATGTAAACGAAACGCCGACTTGCTAATGAATTTCGAGTAATCTGTAATCACGGGAAAGTGGGGACTGTCGGAAAGGAAGTACTAATCCCCACATGATAACATGAGCACTGGGGGCGCATTCTAGCAAAATGTACTGTTCATGGTAGTAGTTGGTGGAATCTCGAAATGCCATAGCCTCCCCACAGCCTTCACCAGATTCTTCTTACACAAGAAGGTTTTTGCGTAAACCTTCTCCACCTTGCGCTCCACGTCATGCAAGTACACGTGGGTAACGCCGGGACTTTTCCTATTCCTTGCCATCACGGCGGCGGAGTAGATAGCTGCCATCCTCCCCGGCGCTTCTGGGAAATACCCACGCGGCGCGTCAATCATTATAATGTCCCACTCCTTATCGTACACCTCGTCCTGTAGCATATTCAGTGCTAATTTGCATCTGCTATTACCGCGGATGAAAGATTTTGTCGGCGAACAGTCCCGTTCATTGCGGTAGTGCGAGAGGAGGTCGTTGGCGTGGGAGAGCTTGGTGCGGTAGTTGACAGTGTTGGCGTGGAGGCCAGGGGCGTTTTTTAGTACGGTCTGGACCCACTTAGGATCCTCCTCGAGGAATAAGGTGGTTCCGCGAGGGTTGAAAGAAGCCCACATGAGGGAATCGTGACCCAGTCCGAACACGAGGAAATTGCAGGGAGAAAGAGATCTGAGAACGTCGTAAGAGAGTCTGATCTCATCAATTGTTTGCTGTGGGATCACTTTCGAAGTCGCGTAATGGAGAATGGCCTCAAGCTGGAGCTCCGTCCCGTTCGCGGCGTTGGCCGGCCGCCGTGGACCACCATTACAAAATACTATAGAAGAAGCATTTCCTCTTAAAAATGAAGCAATAAGCAACGCGCTGCTGATCAATACCACCATAGCCATGGCCAGAAACCATGGATTTTCAGGCTTAAACTTGTGCTTATGGCTTTTCAGCATGATCTCAGTTTTTTGGCTACAAATTCCTTCTTTTTACTTTAACAAATTAATGAGAATCTGAGAAATGAAAGGAAAGATGAAGGCAATGGAGATTTTTGCAGTGAGGAATGGATTATATAGCAGTGTTTGAGTTCAATTAGAAGAATCGTGAGACTATGAAACTTGGAGGAGACCAAAACTCCCAGGACTCGATAAACAGAGAAAGTAGTGGCAATCACGATTCATATTCGAAGATTGATAGGCAATGTATAGCTTTAATTAAACATATTTTCCACCAGAAATGATGGGGAGGGTCCTTTAGAGATAAGCCTAAAATCAAATGGAATATTGCAAACAACACAGTACCTATTATTCATTAGAAAGATAAAGGGAATAAAAGTAAATAGACTTATATATTTTATTAAAAATTAAATACTCATATTTATAGAGAAGAATTAGAATTACAAAAGATACAACAATTATATTGACTAGAACTATAAGTGTATAAAAGTCATTCATAACTATTACTATATTTACAAAACTTCATCTTGAACGACAATTTTCACAATAGTTATCTCATTGAAATATTGTTTGGCAAAAAATTTGATGGACAAAAATTCCAACATATGAAAAAGAGTACAAATAATTTGGAGTTGTAAAATGCTGCCTAGTTAAAATTTTGTCAAGAAAATCCAACAGAACAAAACTTGATTGAAGAAAAAGAGTACAACCACTGATTTCAATTTTTGTATCAAACGATCCTTGCCTTGTATGTCAATGTCTTCAACGTTGATGTCTTTTATATCAATGTTTTCAAGAAAATTCAGTGAAACAAAACTTGATGACTGTAGTAACATGATGACTCGAAAAATAGCTCTTGTTGTTTCTTTTCAATAGTCTTGTATATATAAGAGTTATTATTAGGGTAAATATCTTGTATGTTATGGACATTCATTATATAAAAAATATGCCTCGTTAGAAACTTATTAGGAAAAATCCTGTGGAAAAAATTTTAATGAAGAAAAAATGGTACAATAATATTTTAAATACGCTACAAAAGTTATCTAGTTAAAAACTTTGCTATAAAAATGCAATGGAACAAAACCTTGGTCAAGAAAAAAGAGTACAACGCATATGTGCTCGTCCTCATGATAATATCAATTGAATTATTCTTCAAGTATATTAAATCTTTCAAGGTAACATAAAAAACCATGCTATATAAGTTGGCTATAATTAACTTTATTATATGCATATCAAATTTCATGCATTGTTAAACTAATAAAATGTAGACTTGTGACTACATCCACCCCAAGATAATTTATCTATTTATACAAGTCTTCACTAAATTTATTAATAAAGAGTAGTATATTTCATATTATGATTTTACTTTTTTCCATTTTTCATTTCGCATAAGTATACACCTTTAAGTGTTCAGACTTCATGTATTGTGTCCATTTATTTGGTCAATCATTTTTTTATCAATATATTTCGATGCATTTATTTCGATTTCTTACTATATAATGTTGTATATCATGTACAAAAGTGTTGTCGATAATTTTTTATTTTGGATTCTGTTTATTTCTTTATAATGACATAACTTACTGAGATATCTTTGTTTTCAACATATCTGGTACCTGAACTTTTTTTAGGGTTTTAAAATTTGTTATGTTTAAACACTCATCCAGAGTATATACCTCCTCAATGGGACCATTTTTGCTAATTGCTCCATTATCATTTGAAGATTTTTGTATTAAAAACGAATTTCATCACACTTCGGATGTGTCATAAATATATCATATATAATACTAATAAATTATTCTCCTAAGATATCAATTCGTATTGGAGCCTTTAAAACTAGTGTTGTGATATTGTTGATCGTTTTGGTCAGTAAATGCATCTAAATAAACTATTTTTCGAACTTCTTATTCAAATTATCTTTTGGGAGGATAATGATGCATTTGTACATTATTTTGGCTTCTTAATTCTTTACTTTAATGCTGAGAGATTTTTTCCAATCAAATTGACAATCAGCAAATTGCGTTATTAAATATAACCAATTTAAGATGAGGGTTAAAACTACGCATTTCTTCTCAATATTTTTAATTTTTTATTTTAGTGCATTGTGGTGGACTAATTGAATTATTAAATAATCTGATAAAATTTTTTGTCTATAATAGGAAGAATTGTGATATGGACATAACGCGTAATAATATTCTCTAAGCAGAAATGTAAAGAACTTTGTTGACCACCGAACTCCTATCTCATGAGATTTGTTCGAGGGGCCCATTTCAATCATATGTGAGTTCAAATTTTCCGCAGCTCGGATTAGACCCGTCGTAACCTCTGAAAATATCATAATTACCACATCAACATCTCAAATCAATACACTTGTCAGGAGCGACGTCACCACCGCCCAAAACCACAAATCCAAAGCCCGGAATCTCAAGCCCCTTACAGGTCATCATTGCCTGGAGAAAACATTGACACCTGTCCACTGGCCTCGTCGACCAATCACCAGAGAATTCGACGACTTGAGTTCCGAGCTCGGTATTGTAGCTTATTTGACTGATTTGATGTAATTTCAGCTAAAGCCATGTATAAATAATGGAGTAGAAGTTTTGTAAAGAAAGGAAGAAAGAAAGAAAGGAGACACACACAAAATCATAATCCGATCACGTCTTCTATGTATATTTCATGATTCGATTTAGCAATAAATCAACCTTTTTCCTAAAGTTGGCTCAAAATTAGCTTTGCAAATTTTTACGTCAACAGTTTGGCACTAGAGGAAGGGCCCCAATTGTGAAAAATAACCCCACTCTCCCCACAAAACCCGAGAACCATGAATCATAGCTCCAGTTCTAGAAATCCATCTCACACCCACGCTCATGAAACCAATACTCTACTAAGTTCTCCACGACGACAAGACCCACAGATGATTGCTATGAGGGAAGCCCTAGAAAAACTAACAAATGCAGTGGGATGATTGGAACGGAGCCAAGCCCACTTGTCCCCACCACATACTGAGGTAGAATCCCCTGCAATGACAAGGGCAAGACGTCATCCACCAGGAGGACTCTCCACTTTTCAAGAGGAGAATCCTCAAGAAGCCAAACTGACGAAGTCAGAAGTAAGGATCCTCCGACAAGGAGGACCGGCAGCGTATTCGACAGGTTGGGGACCACACTCGCTAACCCCTAAGCGAGGACAGGTTGGTTTCGACCTTAAACTTCCTTTGGAACAGACAGAACCCGAGCTGAGAGCGCTGAAAAGGCACATTGCTGTGCTGGAGGCTAAAAATAAAGGTGGCACTAAAGACTATCTCACTAAGAGACATTCCCCATTTACTGAGGATGTCCTCATGGAACCATTGCCTAAAAAATTGAAGGTTTCCCAGATGGCCGCGTACGAGGGAGATGGAGATCCCCTGAGCCACCTTGACAAGTACACCTTGTGGATGGAGCTGCAGGGGGCAAGCGACGCCATCATGTGCCGGGCATTTCCCCTAACTCTGGGAGACAAAGCTCAGAGGTGGTTCAGGAGACTGCACCAGAGGTCAGTAAAAATTGGAACAACCTGGCCACAGCATTTTTAGCCCAGTTCATGGGTTCCAAAGCCAGAACCACTCCCAAGGAGCGGTTAGTAAGTATCAAACAAGGAAAGAGTGAACCACTACCCGAGCAGGTTCAACAAACAATCCATGGAAGTAGAAAAAATATTCGATGATGCCGAACTCATGGCAGTACTGGCTGGGCTAAGGCCCAGAACGAGATTCTGGTAGTCGATACACGAGGACGGCCCAAGAACCTATCACGAGTTCTTGAACCAAGCTGAAAAATACATAAGTGCTGAAGAAGCAACCTCTGATCAAGAGGAAGCCAGGTGCGATCTCGACCTTAGCAATACGACAAAAGAGAAAAAGCTGAATAACAATCCTCAGCACGAAAGAAAGAAGGACAGGAGAGAAAGAGAACGTCACAAGGCACAGCCGTATAAATTTCGAGAATACCACCCACTCAAACCTCCTTGGAAAAAGTATTCATGCAAACTAGTGAAAAAGATGCATTCCGCAGGCCGGTTATCCAGAAGAACGGGCAAGCACGACACCACTAAGGATGATACTGTCGATATAACACGATGATGGTTTATGACATTGATAACTGTTGGGAATTGAAAGAGGAAATTGAGTACTTAATTCGAAGAGGTTGGCTACAGGAGTTTGTTGCCGAACTAAAAGCGGATCGACCTCCTTCGTAGCAACCATTGCTACAGGGACCTCCTACGCGAGCTCAACAGACAGTTCACAATCGTAATCCACCCCCACGTGCCGAAATCAAAATGATGGTCAAAAGATACCAGTATATTGAGGGATCTAGAAGGGCGAGACGAAGACAAGCTCAAAAATTTCGGATCGTGCCCAACTATGAAGATCAAACCCTCAGATCGGCACAGACTATGAATAGTTTTGGTTCACGGAAGAAGATTCTCAAGGAATCCCCCTGGTGGTTACCATGCCAGTTGCTGGCGTGAACGTTCACATGACATTAGTGGATAATGGGAGCTCGGTCAACATACTATATTCACGGACTTTGAGGCAAATAGAAATATCAGAACGCTACCTTCAACTATACTCAAGAAAACTGCAGGGGTTCTCTGGGCGAAGCCCCTCGTCAAAGAAGGATTCTGGCGAATTTAGTGGTAGTCGATCTACCATCTAACTACAATGCAATATTAGGACGACCCATATTGTACGAGCTAAAAGCCCCCACATCAATCTATCATTACTGTATGAAGTTCCCTACCCCTCACGGGATCGAGATAGTTCGAGGAGACCAAGCTGGGGCTAGAGCGTGCAATATCTACCTACCCAAACCTCAGGTTAACATGCTAAGGGGCAGGGAAAATACGCGAGTCGGGAAAGCCAGACTGAAGAGACCAATCGTGGCGGATCTCTCTGAGATCGGTATAATTGAGAAATATTTCAAGTGACCTACGGATGACCAGTTACTCTTTGATGAAAAAGAGGTAGATCCACATCCCTACCTCGGAGTCCTGGTAATCTCATTACCTATCGCCGAAGTAACCATCCCAAAAGTCTTGGTGGATACGAGAAGTGCTCTCAACATTATCTTCAGCAACAGCCTCAAGTGGATGGGCATACCTGCCAACTTCTTACGACAATACTCAAAATGGTCCTTAGACTAAGAGGAGCCCTGACCTCACCAAAGGATCGATCAAACTCAAAGTTGAGTCCGGATCGGCACACCGTCAAGTAAAGATAAACTCCGAGTTTGTGGCGTTCGATACTCCTCGCCTTATGACGTCGTCATGGGGCAACCATTGATATTCAATTTGAAAGCAGCGGTGTCATTATACCACTATTCAATTAAGTTCCCCACTTTCCATGGTATGGACGAAGTCAAAGGAAACAGGGCTCTCATCGATACATGTCAATTGAAAGCCTACGACCGCAGTCAATGCATCCTCTCGAGAGTGCATATGGCTCATGTATGGGATTCCAAACTCAGTTCACTAGACCAGAGGATCAAAATCGAAGGAGGAAAACCCGTCGAAGAGTTGGAAGGAGTCCAAGTTTGTACAGACGATCCGTCAAAAGAACTCCAAGTCAGGCGCGAGCTGCAACCCTCCACCCAAAGTAAAATTGTGGCTTTTCTTAGACAGAACCTTGATGTCTTTGCCTGGTTCCATGGGGACATGAGAGGAATAGACCGCAAAATTATCTGCCACAAATTGCAAGTAGACCTCTCAACAAAAACGACAGCCCCTGAACCCCGAAAGATATAAAGCACTCAACACGGAGGTGCAGAAACTGTTGCACAATGATTTCCTTCGAGAAGCAAAATATCCAAAGTGGGTCGCCAACTCGGTTCTTGTGAAAAAACACAATAGAGATTGGAGGGTATACATAGACTTCACCAACCTCAACAAAGCATGCCCCAAAGACAATTTTCCCCTACCAAGAATATATCAAATGGTGGATGCCACTGCAGGACACGAACCACTCAGCTTCATGGATGCGTACTCCCGCTACAATCAGATACCAATGTACGGCCCAGATTAAGAACATACCTCATATGTGAATGACCGAGGTCTTTACTGCTACAAAGTAATGCCCTTTGGGCTCAAAAACTTCGGGGCCACCTATCAACAACTTGTGAACTCCATGTTTTCCCAGTAGATCGAAAAAACAATGGAAGTATATGTTGACGACATGTTGGTCAAAAGCGCCAAGGCCAAAGACCACTATCGGCACCTAGCTGAGATGTTCGATATCCTGAGAACATATGTAATGAAGTTGAACCCAAGGAAATGTGCCTTCGGGGCAGCTCTAGAAGGTTCCTAGGTTACATTGTAAACAACCGAGGAATCGAGACAAATCCCGAAAAAATACAAGCTGTTATCCAAATGAAGCCTCCAACCAAAGCTAAGGAGGTGTAAAGTTTAACCAGGAGGATCGCCGCCCTTAGCCGATTTGTCTCTAAGTCTACAGACCGATGCAAACCCTTTTTCGACACACTACGAGGAGAAAAGAAGTTTGAATGGACCGAGGAATGCCAGGAAGCCTTTAACGAGTTAAAGAGACAGCTAGTTCAGCCTCCACTGCTCTTAAAACCAAAGGCAGGCAAAGTCCTGAAACTATATCTATCTGTTTCAAAACACGCCATTAGTACCATACTGACCTGGGAGGAGGCCAACGTTCAGCACCCAGTCTACTACGTAAGCAAGGCGCTCCACGAAGCCGAGCTCTGGTATTTACCCGTAGAAAAATTGGCATTCATCTTGTTGATGGCAGCATAAAAACTGAGGTCATATTTATTGGAACACTCCATCGAAGTCCTCACTAACTCTTCATTGAGACAAACATTGCAAAGACCCGACACTTCAGGTCGGATGGTAAAATGGGCGGTGGAGCTCGCACAATTCGACATAAAGTACACACCCCATTTCTCCATCAAGGGCCAAGCACTCGTCGACTTTATCTCTGAGTTCCGTAGCGTGCCAACCGAGGAATCGCCAAAAGAAACACCTTGGGAACTTTATGTTGACGGGTCATCTATCGAAGAACGATTCGGGGTTGGCATTGTATTGATGAGCCCGGAGCAACGCATATTCTGTGAAGCTCCGCTGTTTGACTTCAAGGCATCAAACAATGAAGCTGAATACGAAGCTCTCATTGCCGGAGTAAGTATGGGCTCAGGGTTGGGAATCCCCAGACTAATCATACATAGTGACTTCGAGCTAGTCGTGAATCAGATCAATGGCGTGTATCAGGTGAAAGAAGAAAGAATGGACAATTACCTATGGGTTGCAAGGAAAGAGCTCGAAAGCTTTAATACCATCCAAATCAAGCAGATCTCCCAATCTCAGAATGGTCACTCTGATGTCCTGGCTCACCTAGCAACTAGTGAGGAAATTGAAGAATTCGATAGCATTCCCAAGGAAAGAATATCCCTACCTACCACCGAATTGGCCGAAGTGTCCCTTATGATGATAGATCCCAAACCAACCTGGCAGGACAAGATCATCACACAACTGAAGACTTGGGAAATGCCCCGAAAACTCGGTAGAAGCCAAAAAGCTCCGAATCAAGTCGGCCAGATACATACTCATTGATGATGTCCTCTACAAGCGAGGATAATCTACATCCTTGCTCAGATGCTTGAATGAAGAAGAAGCCCCATACTCCTTGCGAGACGTTCACGAGGAAATATGTGGAAATCATTCCGGTAGGTAATCCTTGGCCCACAAGATCATACGTCAAGGGTATTTCTGGCTTGAAATAAGACGTGATACCCTCGAATTTGTCAAAAGATGCGACAAGTGCCATCATCTTGCCCTTATCATAAACACTCCACCGTGCGAACTGAACCCGATGACGTACCTTGGCCCTTTATGAAATGGAGGTCGACATGATCAGACCTATGCCCACTGGAAGGGGAGGTGTGAAATTCACAATCGTTGCAGTGGATTACTTTACTAAATGGGCCGAGGTCGAGCCACTTGCCAAGACCACCGAACAAAAAACGACAAACTTTCTTTGAAAATCCATCATTTGTAGGTTCAGCATACCCCACACTATTGTAACCGACAATGGAAAACAGTTAGACAATGCCCGCCTTTCAAACTTCTGCGAAGAGTTCTGCATCATGAAACATTTTTCAACTTCGAACCATCCATAGACAAATGGCCAAGTTGAGGCCATCAACAAAATCATTAAACACACATTGAAAGCAAAACTTGATGTGTTTAAAGAGGGATGGGCCGAAGAACTAGTGTGATGTGGTCTTATCGCACCACTACAAGGACAAGTACGGGAGAAACCCCATTCTCACTGGTTTTTGGTGTGAAGGCTATGATCCCACTGTAGGTCAGCATTCTCTCACTTCTCATAACTGCCTATGACGAAGAAAAGAACCATATGGCTCTTTGTACGAAACTTGACCTCGTCGAAGAAAAGAGGAACAACGCTGAACTCAAAAATACAGTTTGCAAGCAACGAAACGCTAAGTATTACAACCAGAAAGTACGAAGTAGAGAATTTGAAGTGGGATCCCTAGTTCTACGAAAGGTGTCCCTCGCCACGAGAGAGGCTGATAGCGGATGCCTAGGACCGAACTGGGAGGGTCCCTATATGGTAACAAAGATCCTGTCGAGAGGGACGTATGAACTGAAAGACCTGGGGGTAGACCTCTACCCCACCCCTAGAACGCCGAACACCTTAGGCAATATCACCAGTGAACATGAAGAGTCCATGACATGTGAACCTGCTTGTAATGTCAACCATATCAATAAAAATGACTCCTTATTTTGAACATTCAATTCGGCATCTGGTCAGAATTTTACAAAGCCCTGCTCCATACGCAGGTCGAGCTAAGGTTGTATGTGCTGCAACACTTAGACAAAATTTCTCCTAAGGAATCCTATAGGTCATGTGCGCAGGCTGATCTAAGGTGGTAAGCAAGGCGGTACGTATGTATATCAAACTAAGTTCATGAAGTATTGCCATACTTAAAACGAGATCCCTACTAAAGAAACCATGCAAAACAAGAAAATTCATCCTTTCTAGACAAAACATCACGAAATATCAAATGAAGATCATAGTGTACTACAAATAGTCAAAAAATGTCTCAAAATGCCAAACAAAGATTCCAAAATATTAAAAAGTAATTATCGTAAGAGGGACCATGAGAAAGAGGATCTTGGGGGGACTGGGGTACTGCCCTTAACATCTTGTTCTGCCGGGGATATCTGAACTCTCGCAGCAGCAAATAATCTCCGCAGCTCCTCTCTCTGCTCCCCCAACGCCTTATCCAGGAAAGCGGCATCAAAGTCCGACCTCTTTCTCCAGATATGTTTTATCAGCTCTTCTAAGACCACTACGTAGGCATCCTGGGCTAAGGCATCAAACTCTGGATATTCTCTCCAAATCTCCACAGCCTTGATGGCCTTAGCCTCTACCTCTTCCGCCCTCTTCATTGCCTCCCTGGTCCTCATACTGGACTCTTCTACTTTCTCCATAGCCTCCATTGTATGAGAACGCTCCTCGGCCACCACAGCTCGCAACTCTTCTACCCGAGCTCTCTCCACCTTAGCCCGCTGGCTGGTAAGTCTTCAGAACCTCTTCTCCTCCTGCAGCTTCTTCTCCAAGTCCAGTCTAGAGTTAAGCTCTTCCCCCATCCTATTTAATTTATCCTCATGCTCCTTCTCCCGAGCAGCAAGTTGAGCTCTCTCCCTCTCCATGCCTTGGTAGAGGCTCAGCACTTGGTCTTTGGCTTCCATCATTTGGCTTTCAGCTAAACAAAAATCAAAGAAGTCAGTATGACACGAGACATTGTATAAACCAGTGAAATTCAAAGTATAAGAGCCTGGATAGAGGTACCTTGTCAGCCACGGCCATCGTATACAAAATGGATCGGTGGCTATGGAGCTGAGCAGTGACGATTGCCTCCCCAAGCGGCATCTCAGCCAACCCTGCTCCCTCTGATTCCAGCCCCTAGTCAAAAGATTGGCAGAGTCACGCAATGGAGGAGCCAGGGCAGCCATCGTCTTCCTGGAAGGGAGGGAGCCTGTAAGAAATCCAACAGTATCTTAGGTCGGCGACCCAGTAATCCATCCAAACTCAGCCTCTACAGGTCGGGTCATATCTCCTGAGATCTGAAAGAGCTGTCAATGGTAACGAAAGGAGCAGTAGAGATTGGCACCTCTGGCTTCGACGACGGTAGAGTTGGGATAGCCTCCGGAGTGGGAGATGGTAGAGAATGAGAGGCTTCCTGGGCAGGACTTGATGGGGCAGGGGGAGCGTACTCCGGCATGGGAGGTGCAGTCGAAGTACCAGATCGGGTCCTCTTCAAAGGCATGACCTCTTCCTCAATTTCTTCAGATCGGTTCTCTATCCGAACTGAGGCCTCTGGCCTTTTTCCCTTCACTACTGTTGCTGCTATCATTGCCTCCTTGGCTACCTTGTATCCCAACATTTCCGGACCGTAGACTAAAAAAAATATACATATAAGTTGATGGCTGTGTTAAAAATCACGCGAGCTTAGGAAGGCAGTGGGTACTTTTACCTGGGCTAGCTGGAGTTGATGCTGATGGGCGCCTGAGGTCTTGCTCAAAGCAATTGTCTGGATCAAGCCTGCCTTGAATAAATTCGAGTCGAAAATCACGTATTTGCACGACCTCTGTCTTTTGGGAAGAGCTCTTATGGCCTCAACACGCCTCTGCGTATCCCTGGTCAAGGTAGCCTTCTTGTAATCTGCAAAGTAAGAGCACGGATAGTTAACATCACTCTAATATCAACTCAAACTTAAGTATCAAAGTAAGTGTTGCTTACATAAGGCATGGTAGAATTTGGGGACAACATCCTCCCTATCCACTTCGGCAGGGTAGAATTCCCAATCCTCCGACACGTAGAAGAATTCCTCTTTCCACTTCTTAATTGAGGAAGGAGTGTCCAGCACTAGGAAATCGCCGGTCCTCGGTCTAACACTAGTATACCACCAGCCAGAGGTCCTCCCATCATCTTTGAAAGTAAATAAGGAGTTGAACTGCTCGACACTGAGC